TAGTGAGACAAAAGACAGCTTTTGATTTGACTTGTGTTGCATGCGATAGTTCCCGCAAGGATGATGGGTTACTTCAGCCTGAGTGGAGATCGGACCCGCACCTCTCGCTTTCTGAGCAGTTGTACTAGCAATTACACATCTGGTATTGTAGAGATACTTCGAAATCAGTCCACTACTGCTCTGGAAACAAAAGATGTGGTTCCGACCCTCGCGGGCGAAGACCCATTCATTTGCCTATAACAGAGCAGGTGTGGGTCGCTAGACAGAAAGCCAATTTTCGCATTTCGCAGCGTGAAGCTCCTTTCGCTGCGGGAACCTCAGGGCCACTGAATATCAGGACCCAAGTCAATGGTAATCAGTCACACAAATATCTGAGAAGATGTTTCCAACTTCCTGTTCCTGTTTCAACTGCTATATAAGACGAACCTTTATTAGAAAAAAATCTCATACATAGAACATGTTTAAGGATGACTTATTCCAAAGGAAAAAAATGTGAAGGTATGTACACGAGGGTTGAAATCGAGAAAGAAAACGCAGAGGACAATATGACAAACCCATGGATAAACAGCTCACTTCTGAATGTGCGAAATTCGGCGATCTGAAGACGATTTCTTTCTATAATACAACATGTGCAAGAATTCTGTAGCTCTATGAGCTCGCTGACTAATCCCCGATATCACAAATGGGTAGCAGAATGGAAACGGAGGAAGCACTATCACCAACATCAGTAAAACAGTGACCTAAAAAGAGTTACACCACAATTGGAATTTGGTAATGTACATAACAAAAGCCCCTAAATGAAACGAAACTGAAGCTACAACACTTAAAAAAAACAAAATCTGGAATTTAAGAACGATTCCACTGTACAAGTTCTCCTCAAAGCTTCTCACTCTTCCCAGTCAACCCAGTTGTCGTCCTTCTTCTTCGACCCTTTGGATTCTTCTTCGTCTTTTGCACGAGGTGTAAGCGGGCCTGACTGTTCGTCTTCGCCATTTGTCGAGCTTATCTCCTGAACGACTCTAATCATTCTGAGAAGATACAGCAATAATTCCCGTACACCCAAAATTTCATACAAAGCAGCAGCACCCCAACCAGCATTAGGTATGAAATGAACAGAGTGTAAAGCACAACATAAGGAACTCGAGAAAAACTGGAAAAACCTCACCAATCCACCATTCGAAGACTTGAAATGAAATGTTTAACAGTAATGAAAGTTAATAGCCACATCAACTGTATAATTTACTGAAAGGTATAGCAGGGGAATGCATGCTTTCGCGTAGAACTCCAACTATTCCTATTTCTTGAAATACATGAGAAGAGAGTATGTCTTCCAAACTAATCCTAGCATAGCCGGATGCATGCTCCAATTAGTCTCAGCTTTTGATCCATTTTCACTTAAAACCGAGGGACCTGGAATCGATTGTTGGTTACTAATAAGGGAACTCCCAACTATAATAGAAACAACTATAAGTAATGAATCGAAGTACCACACTGATGAATATTTATACCTCAACATAATTCTTCTCGCTGCACACACTCCAGTCATCGGCGGAAGGAGCCGGGCTGGTGGGCTGCTGATCAACAACAGCGATTGATCCGTCCGATTCCGGCGAATCTCCGCCCTCTTTTGATGGTCCTACAAACGCAAGCCTCATGCAATCAATAACTGAATTCACGGAGTTAAGCTAACGCTAGAAATAATGTACGCCGAGAGTTTTGGACAGCTACGCATCACCATTACAAAACTCTGGTATGCTATTTGAATGCCACCAAAAAACAACCCCAAACTTAGGTTACATGCTGCTAACCTACCTTGTTCTCTGCTTCTTCCCATCAAGCACAAAAGTCTTAATGCAGTGTCCTCAGGCCGAAAAGGCCCATGCGCAGCTCCTCATCCATTTCTGCGATTTGTACGGCGAAGAAGTATCTCGACCAGAATGTTTTGCTGTCCATTTCCGACGGAACCTTCAAACGCAATATTGCAGCAATAACATTACATTGGAAAATGTTTCTAAAAAATCTGCTTAAATGACAATTGATATTGAAAGGAAAGGCAATGCTCCAAACACAAGAAATTCATAGAAACGTACCATCTTGGAGTAAATTTCTCTCTGTGATGGATTGTTTGCGATAAGCAGATTAATTTCAGCATCATATTCTTCCATATTGAATCGAGCTACCCATTTCGAATATCCCTCGGAATTCTCGGGCTCCTTACGGTATGTGTCTTCAGACGATTGTATTTCGAGCAGCTTTTCCTGGAAGGATAGTCTTGAGAAGACGAGAAAATAGGGTACTATGGTGGATCTTTTAACTGTTTGGAATCACAGTATATAGCAGTACAAAAAACTGTGCGAACTATTGTACTTAAATGAAACAGAAGATGCTGATAGATAAGCTTTTGAGTGAAAAAATCACTGAAAACGTCTAAGATAAGGAGAAATAGTTCAATGTGTCCTGTGCGCCGAGCCTAGCATCGCAGACGAGAAGCAAGCACATGCATTAGGGAGGATGAAATGCAGAATGCATATCGGCTGATAGTGCACCATCCCACATGATTAGGTGACCTAGCGTTTATTCCACACATTCCCGGTAAAAAACTACGACTAATCGGTCGAAGACACAGCAGCCCCATGGTTGTAGAGATTTTTCAAATCGAACCGCGGGACTATTGAACAATAAGAATATGAAAAATGCCAAGACGGGTGATCGGTGATAATCAATAATAAGCATTTTGAAACGCGTTCATTGCCTTTTAATTTTGAAAGTTTGGTAATAGAAAACTCACTGGAGGTAAAATAGTTTTACGGAAGATTCTTGGTCGAATAATTTCAGTTATGTCTCCTTCGCCGCCGGTAGTCTCTTCCACAGCCAAGCTTTTGACGGTATCGGTGACGGTGTCCACAACGGACTTTACCCAACCTAGTCCCAAGGCTGCGCCTTTCTCAACCTGCAAGGGTGTAGGCGATTCAAAAGAAGAAACAAGAAATTAGTCAGCACAACCTTCAACAAATAGCTACCTTTATGATCTTACAATTAGAAAGTTAAATAGTGGAGTGCTAAACGACACAGCATCGACCGGAATTCCTTTATAATGCTAGAGCCATTTTCAAATTTTTAAGAAAAACTCTGAAAAAGCGCACCTTGGCAGCCAAAGTGCTCTCATACGATTGCGATTTAGGAAGATCAGTCGGCGCTTCTACCTCTGTCTCGGACTTCCCTTCTTGATCGACAACCACAGGTTTCTCTTCTTCATCTGGAGTAACTAGCTTCTCCAAATACTGTGCCTGTTCTTTAATGACCAGTTGTGGCCGTGTCAATACCTAGACGTGTCCTTATGATACGTCGTAGATTCGAAGTGATAACGCAGAGACTAACCTCCCTTCGCAGCAGTAGTGAGATCAGCACCTTCCTGAGTCATAGCATCACCGAACTCGGCCAAATCCTTCTTCATTAGATCAAAAGTGTTCTTGGTCTGAAGGAAAAACTATCACCTCATTGATGTTCATTTTCTTAAAGATCCGCCACCAATCCTATGCACTCCCCATCTACGCAGCTTAGTGGGGAAGCTAAAGCGATTCAACGAAAGTGGACGATGTGTATATGCTAGAAGACGCGCCCGTAAAGTTTGCTTCTAAGTGACTACCCTTAACTAAGAGGGCCTTCCGGCTCGTGTTATGTTTTTCAAAATGGTTTTTTGAGCCGTATAGGAACACGTGCATGAGCATAGAAATATGGTCCGGTTTTTCTAGGGTGGCCCTCTTATCGCAGAGAAAAAAGGATTGGGTTTTTCCATGGTTCGATTCCCCACGGTGACAGTTTTCCGATTGGCATTTTGTTATGATGCCGCAAAATAGTAACACGCGCTGTGGAAATGGCTGCTTATACTTTAACTATCAGATCACCAGTAACCCAATACGTTTACCAAAAAGCTGCACTTGAGAAAAGTTGGCCGCTTAGCTTTTTTCACCTCTCCTTAGATCTTCCGGGTGAGGGGGGGCGTTCATTCAGGAGAAGCGGACCGCAACTTTTCTGCGTTCCAAGGCACGTATCCATATCTATCATGCGAAAAAGGCGTTTTCAAAAAAGCCACGACCTGAAAGATATCCTGCCTAAAGCTTCGTTAACCGCCGAAGGAGAAAAAGGAAGTTTTACGGCGTGCATTACACTTACCTTCAATATACGCCACGTTATTGTTCTTTAACCCATACAAGTAATAGAAAAACACGATGACAACCGGAAAGAGGATTTAAAGTTTTTTGCTGCTCGGAAGAAGAAATTTCTATAACTAAATCTGATTGGAAAAGAACATGTCGCGCTTTAAACACTTAACAGTTTACAGTGTCGAAAAGTCATTTAAGATTTGAAATAAAACCTGGAACCCCACCTTTTCTTTGGCAGTGTTGAACCAAGAAGCACCAGCGGAAATCCACGCAGCTGGAAGTGGATTCAGACTAGGCAACTCCTCCTCTGTGGTACCGCCTTCCGGTAGTTGCGCTGGTTTCGATTCGTCCTTACCAGGCTCTTCAGTTACTAGTGGTGTAGAAGATTTCTCTTCGCTCATCTATTGAAGAAAAAACTTGTTAAAGTCCTTGGAAGTACTCAGCAAAGGCGAGGACTAGCTTGTAAATGTGTTCATCGGCAAAGAAATTCAATTCATGCTTTGATGACTTGAAAGCTCAGCAATTCCCAGTGCCAATGGGAACTGCTGAAAATGGCACGCGCTTCTACACACGATCATTGAATACGCTTCTATCGATCGGAGACAAAGTGAAAGCGAACTGATAACTGGCCTTGTATATAGCAAATTTCAACAAACAGAGTGCATGGAGCTCTTCACGAAGACTAAACAACAGGCAGCGAGTTCATTTAGAGAAGGATTGAACGGAGTCATGAATACACTCAATCGACAGGGCTTACGAACGATACGTTGTGAACCCGCCGCCCTTGTAAAGCGGAACCAGTGCCATCGTGGGCAATGTCAGTGGATCTAGTTCTTATCGAATACATGATCGTAGACTGGAAGTTGTAATGAAGGAAATCGACCTCATCACGTTCGCTTTTTTGAAATCCTAGATGATAAGGGCGATTCTAGCCATTAGACTAGCCATATAATTATTAGTAAATGTACAAACAAACAAATTGCACGTGTAACAACCCTACTTCCCACAGAAAGTTTTAGAGGATGTCACTCGGTCACACTTGAAGATCAGATATATACTATTGGGTTGTTCGGAAAGTTTCCGCCGTTTTTAGTAACTCAGTTTCGAACGCTTCATTTATGAATCACTTCTTACAAGGGAGGTCGTTCAGGGTGTGCCAAGCTTTTTCAAAATGGTTTCTTGCATGACATTGGGGCACATGTGGGAACCACAGAACCATGGTCCGTTTTTCCTGAACGGCCCTCTGAATACCAAAAAGGGGTCCCTAGTTCGATTCCTCGTGGTGACAAATTTTTGCATTTCGAGTTGACGTTTTTCAAAATTTGCGCAACGAACGGAGAACTCCACCTTCAATAATTAGACCATCAGCTAAATCCCTTCAAAGGACTTCCCATCGAAAAAAACTGGTGAAAAGGGTGCACCCAAAACGGCCCCACTGTGGTGTCACACCTTTTTCACCAGTTTTTTAATCAAAGTCTATTTTGTAAGGTTACTGACGGTCCTAATCATGAATATGGTACTAATTATTCATGCTAACTCCATTTTGCGCGAATTTTGGCCGGACGCATAGTCGGTCGGACGACAGCAACGACCGTTGCTGTCGGACGACAGCAACGACCGCAAGTGTCGCATAAACCGCGGTTGCAAATGGAAGGCGACGCGGTCACCCAATGCTAACCCAGACAACACGTGACTGCGCGTGATCGTATTTCGAAAGTCCCACTGTAGTGTGGAATAGTAGCTGCGTATTGATCTGCGACACTGTGCGTCGTTTGCTGTCGTCGGCGACAGAACTATGCGTTACGGAATTTTGAACGTCAACTCGAAATGCAAAAATTTGTCACCACGAGGAATCGAACTAGGGACCCCTTTTCTGGTATTCAGAGGGCCGTTCAGGAAAAATTGAACATGGTTCTGTGGTTCCCGCATGTGCCCCTATATCATGCAAAAGACCGTTTTGAAAAAGCTTGGCACACCCTGAACGACCTCCCTTGTAAGAAACTTCATCAGTTCAATATTCACCTTTTGAAAGCTCGCATCCTGCTCCGTCTAAATCTTTGTTCTTTAGCCACGAAAAACTTTCTCCTCTTTTTGAAGTCTTGTATACAACGTACTCAACAGGCTGTTGTGGCAGGATTCTCTTCGTGTTCCTCAACTTTTGTCAAAAATGTGCGGAAGCAAGTCGGATATCAACCGAGCATTTGACTCACAACCCACAAAAAATACGCTGTGATCCAAAATGCTCTCATGACGGCAAAAGCTTCGAAAAGATTAGATTGTAGTTTGGACATCGGGGAGTGACAAAGACTAAGTGAGGGTTTTGATCAAAACAAAAATTGCAAGCTGCTGAGCAGGCCGCTTCCTAATTAGCTTAAGTGAGATAAGATTGCCAAATATACAAGTGTCTCAAAAAAGCCAAAGATCTGGACAAGTAGGTGCTGCCAACTGTTTTACCCACAGCGGCGCAGCCCCATCGCACTTACAGGACGTAAGTTGAACTAGTGAGCTACAAAACTGTGCTGCAAATATTTTGCACAGAAGACCTCCGCCTACAACTACCACTTTAGTAGCCATCTAGATGGCCGTTTGGAAAAGATCAAACGCTGAAACCCGACGCGATGGTGAAACGACCTTCGCCAGTTCTGTCAATACGGACACTTTCCACTACATCACAGAGTATCAACACCCCGCTCTTTGGGCAAAAGGTATAGGGAATGTAATAGTTTCGATTCCGATCAAGAAGGTTTTGTGTGAATGGAGATTTGCGCCTTTGACTTTAGGAGTAAAAACCGACGGAAACTTTCCGAACAAGCCAAATATTTAGCTCTATCGGAGCTAAGCACGACCGCGAAACGTTGGTAAAAACTTTGGCAAACTGTGAACTGGGTTTCCATTTTTCATTTTTCATTCCATTTTGGACCTGTCAAAGCCGTCTCCTCACGCCCTAATAAGCAAGTATTTTCTCAGGACAGGCGTTGTCAGATGTGAATAATCCAGAAAAGGATGTGCACCAAAAGGCGATCGGAGGTATACGCCGAGATGCTCGCCTCTTTGAAAAAACTTCCCGCGCGCGCTCGTTTAAACAAATGTCGCACTGGGGCGAGCTTTCTCCCAGCTGTGCTGGTGTTAAAGTCACTACGGCAATCCTGAAGGAATGCGACTTGTAGAGGTAGAGGGTTCACAATGAAAGATTAACTTCCCAAATAGATATCTCTTGAGAGTCAGTGTTTGTATTCTTCGTTAGGTAATGTCTTTTTGTAATTGCAGAGTGAAGGAGGACGGGAGGAGGGTGCAGTCTGTAGAAGGGCTTCCGAGACTGAGCTACGGAGGGAGACGAATTTTGAAGAGAAAAGTTGCTCACGCACTTCGGGGCCACTCTTCTCCTCTGAGGCTCAGTCCTAAAACTGAGCGTTTCCATAACCCTAACGCAGTGTGTCGCGTGCTGCCGTTCCCACCCACCAAGCCCCACTGAGGATGAGATGACTACATCTCTTATATTCTAGGCGAACTGGTGGTATTGCTCTGCCTTCAAGGGTGACTGTACTTCTACTGCCAGGTCACTGTATTCAAAACGATTTGCGCACTCAACATATTGCGTCTCTATTTCTTAGCACATACTGAAACACATAATATAGGCAGATCTTCGTCCGGTGAAAATTTAAGGCAACTTTCTGATTTTCACCTGTAGACACTAACTAGTAGCCACCAATCAATGCTTTGGTAATCAATTAGCATCCACTTATTTCCCCTAATGCAATTTTCGTCAGAAAATTATGTTGGAAGTTCATCACAACTGTTCCTATGATTCCTCGCTTGTTTCGTGTTCAGGTATGTATCATTACTTTTGCTGAGGTCACTGACTGGTGAACAGCCTTTGAAAACACCGCTGTAGATATTTGAAAGGTGATGGGCTTTGCTCACACGACTTACTGGATGGAAGCACAAAATCCGAGCAGTCGCAGCGAAAAAATCCCCGATAAATTGCTCTTGTTGCCTCCAGTGTGGATTTAACGAGGATTAGCGTCAACATACTGACATTTTATAATTTTCTTGAAAAATGTCTTGCAAAATACTAATTCAATGCTACAAGAGATAGGAAAAACGAAGATCGATTCTTGTGGGATCAAAAAGAGGTACATTTGTGGTGGTGTCTAAACTCCCATACTTCCAATCATTACCTTACTATCCAAAGACGCTTCCTACCAGTACTCTCGTGCGAACGACCGCATCCCCTAGTTATCATTCCTGCTCTCCTGCTAGAATATCTATACTCTTGCCTGCGGTGGTACCAGTACGGAGAGCAAACTCAAAATATGACGAAAAGGCACGAAATTGGTGTGTCTCCAATCAGTCTAGCTAGTTGTAAGCTCGCTCCAGTGCCACGTATATTTGAACGTGCGCGCGCGGGAAATTTTTTCAAAGAGGCGAGCATCTCGGTGTATACCTCCGATCAGGGTCAACCCTATCGTTGTTACTCTTCGGAAATTTTTTACGACCCCCCCCCCTTCATGGGTGATTTGATACGACCCCCCTTTGTATGTGACACTTGTGTAGAGACAGTGTTTACCATCAATATTTATTTCTACGTAAGTCATCAAAGATGAAACTTTAGCAAAATCCACGACAGAAATTCATCGCTGCTTGCAAACACGAAAAAATGAGATGCATTCAAAGATATCCGTGTACTCCAAAGGGTTACCAAACTAGGAGATGAAATAAGCTGAACCAGTGACCGGAATATTGACAATATTACCTGATAAAAACTTATGAGAAGTCAGAAAAAATTATCGCTCCAATTGAAATACTGAAATCCTTCACGTTCTTCAATTGCAACACAATTTTTACACCCCTCTTTCTAAGGCTATAACTTCCTTCATATTCGAGCTTCAGCGCCGAAGTGATTTGATTTGGAAAATTCAAATTATTCTCTCTCCAACCATGGGTAAAAATTCTTCGAAAGTTAATTTAATAAAAATTTAGTACGTTGTTACTTTTTTCTGTGCAAAGCGACTTTTTGACCTTCAAACGATCATAACTTCTTCAAAGTCATTCATTTGGGAAGCTGAACACGTATAATAAACTACAGGATTCAAGCTTTCTAACGAGCACCCAAGCGTTCCTGAAAGATCAGTAGTTCAAAAATTAGTCCCGTTGTTACTTTTTTGGGGGTTTGCGTTACTATTTTTTTGGAACCGCGACTTTTTGACCTTCAAACGATCATAACTTCCTTCAAAGTCATTCATTTGGGAAGCTGAACACGGTAATAAACTACAGGTTTCAAGCTTTCTAACGAGCACCCAAGCGTTCCTGAAAGATCAGCAGTTCAAAAAATTAGTCCCGTTGTTACTTTTTATTTTGAGGGGTATTCTTCAAGCCATTTTCTCGAAAACGCGAGTTTTCT